TGCCCGGTACAGCACGCTCCAGCCACTGCTGCACATGGGGGCAAGGAGCGCAGCCTGGCTGGGCTGCCTCTATTGCGAGAGCTCCCTGCTGCACACACGCAACTCCTGCACTTGTGTGCCACTGGAGGGAAGCTCCACATGCTAGAGCCGGCTGCCTTCACCATTCCCTGCCACGCAGATCCTAGGACTCCATGGGGAAGCAGGGGCCAAGGCTCCCCTCCATTTCTGGTGGAATCCCAGGACCTGTGTGGGAGGGAACAGCAAAGGCAACCAGCTTCAGCGTGTGGAGTTTCCCTCCAGTGGTGCATGAGTTGCACAGGTGTGGTGGGGAGCCCCTGCAATGGAAGTGGCCTGGCCGGGCTGCACTCCTTACCCCCATGTACAGCAGTGGCTGGAACCACAACCCACCAGGAACCAGCGGCTGTGCCAGGCATGAGCGCCCCTGCCTGCTGCCGTCTACAGGAGATGCACGCAATGGAGGGGAGTGGCAGGGGTTCCCCATGCACTCCCACCCTCACACCCTGTCCTGCCCACCTGAGTTCCATGCTGCCGCCACCACCCTAGGCACGAGCTCCACGCTGCCACCAGTCCCAGCCCCACACTCCCGCCCAGCTGCAGCTCCCCAACTGCCTCCGCCCCTTCCCCATCTGCTGCCCAGAGTAAGCAGGATGCTGGGGAAGCCAAGCAGGTCTACCAGCAGCTGCAGCAGCGGCAGCCCCCCGCAGAAGCTGCATGCTGGCTGAGCCAGGGCCTTCTGCCAACAAGTATGGGAGCAAGGTGCAATAGGGTATGTTGGCAGGGACTGTGTATATTGAGCGCCTTGCTCCCACCCCTATGGGCAAAAGGGATGGGTAGGGTACAATTAGTAGGTAAGCACTACAGGCTGGATTAAAATGTCTGGCAGACCAGACCCAGCCAATGGGCCATATTTTGCCCGCCCTGCATTAAAGACCAACTCCATGAAGCTGTCACTTCTGCTTCACTCACAGTTTTGTTACATTATACTAAAGACAAACAAGGTTAACTAAGGTATGTTACTTACCCCTCCCATTGTAATACCATCAATAAGGGCCACGTATGGTTTCTGACAAGTACCTATTAAAAATGTAATAGTTACATATATATAATACACTACTACATTTTTGTAGAAAAAGCACTATTACATTTTGTAGAAAAAGAAGGAAAATTCCAGAAACTTATGAAATAAGACTATCACAAATATTTTCCTTCCCTGGCTGTAATTTCAACAGCTTAGTTATTCAGAACACAATGTGATATAATTATTTCATTCTGTAAACCAATATTTAGTTCTCACCACCCACAAATGCAGGTACTTTAAGTAATTATTTCATTATTTTTTAAAAATAGGAAGAATGTTCGATACTGATTTGCAGCAGTAAATCCCTAATAATTTCTAGAGGCACTCCGAGCATTAAGGGTGTGTCAAAAAAAACCACCCCAACAACCCTTCATTAAAGAAGTTAATGTTTTTGTTTACAGCTTAAAACTCTAAAGTCTTACTTAAGTTACAAGAACTATAACGGTCTCCCTGGGTACTTGTACATGTGACAGGGGCTTAATTCCCAAGGTTGCACTGTATGCCTCCTAAATGGAAACAATGGGTTTTTAATTCAAACTCACTGTTTCAATTTTTCTGTCACATTATGACGAGGTTGGTTAGAGACTACCTGAGGAGCCCCTGAGCTGCAGGGGGCTTCAGTCTTTCCTTCCAAGGTGGCACCCCCACCCCCAAGACGGCCTGGGTGGGCAGCCAGTGGGCCAGGTGCTGCTGCAGCCAGCTTAAGCTTGGGGAAGAGTCAGTATGGGCCAGGTGCTGCCTCCAAGCTAGGAGAGCACCCAGCCCGTGAGCCGGCCACCCACGTGGCCTAAGGGGGTGTCACCGCCACAGAGGGAAGGACTGGAGCCCCCCACAGCTCAAGGGCTGCTCAGCCCACCAGCAGCTCGCCTCCCACCTCGCCCCCTCCAGCTGTGGGAGAGATGGGTAGGCTCCACTGGAGGGAAGAAAAAAAAAAAAGGATGGGACCCCTCTCCACTTCTGCCTTCAGCAGGCACCTTATCCTTTTTTTCTGCAGTCTGCCTGCCTCTCCCATGGCTGGGGGCAGAGCTGACAGCTGCAGTGCATCATTGCAAACTAAACTACATCCAGATGTAGTGTAATCTGCAATGATGCAAAGCCACTTAACCCCCTCCCCCAACTCTTGAACATGTACAGTGTGGCACCACACAAAGTGACATTTTAGTCATGTGTACATGTTAATGGCGTCACATGTATAAGCACCCCCTGTGGTTAAAATATGCTCTTCCACATGAACTAATATGAAATAACATTTAGATAACAAAAGAAATGGAATTGCACTTTAAATCTTACTGTGCTAAATAAACTCAGACATTAGGACACATGCTCCTATCACTGATAAATTTGTATCACTCATTGGCAATGTTACATATATGTAACAAGAAGTGTTTTCACTACCCCATAATTGAAAAATATAAACACACACAAACCAACTCACTGAAGATTTGTTTTAAAGGAATGCTACCAGATTAGATTTCGCCCCCAAAAAATTGTAGGTTCTACAACCACATGCTTTAAGAATCACAATCAATAAAAACATGTGTATGTGCTTTAAAGGCAAAACGAAAGGTTGGGGTTTTATAAACCCTTATAAACACTGTAATAAATATTACAGCATTCAGCAATTTTGTGTGAACTGGAAACTAGAAGCTAATCTGTTCTCAAGACCCAAGGTGATAAAGGAGCAAGGCAGATGTTAAAGATACTGAATATAGATTAAAAAAAAAAAAGAAACTTTTAGAAATACGTATTTTAATAACAACCACCCTTTGGCAACGGTTTATTTATAACCTCTGCTGAAGCAGATCAATATCAAGATCATCCTTCTTTTAAGATAATAGAAGCATTTTCATTGAGCACTACAGATAAACAGAAGGAAAATCCCATTGTGCTGTAGAGCTAAAATAACCAGCATATTTATCATTGTTCCAATAGCAGTTGCTTTCACATACTTCAGAAGCACACATAAAACCCAATTAGTGTTTTATCATGCAATATGGCATCTCAGGGAGAAATTTATTCTGGAGCCCAAGCAGTTAATTATTACTGACATTCTGAAGAGTGAAGTTGACTATGATTTAGATCGTTTATTATTGATAGCCAGATCCAATACTTTGTTAGTCTTGCTCAGCATTTTCCACAGTAATTTGGGGCAGCAGGGTCCACAGACTGATTATACAACTGCGGGGTATTTTCTTTAAATAATTTTAAATATGCTTTTTAATTTCAATGGAGCCCCCTTATTCTTCTGTTAGACAAGATAAGTATAGCAGTAACCATTATCTGATATACCTTTTTCTTGCTCTCCCTTCATTCGTTATATTTAATGAAGTATTTGCATAATCTCATTTATCTAGCACAAGTCATCTACAGACTAAGGATTCACTTCACGTACTACTGAAATGTCAAAGATAACCCCAGCATGAAATGAGGCAGTTGGTTAATAGTTTAAAACAGGAAGATAAACTATAAAAATTACCAAAATTGGAATATGGCCAGAAGAATTGCAATGTTTAGATTCCTTATTTTCTGCACCCCCCTTTTTTTAAGTTCTCTGCAGTAAGTGCTAAGAGCCAGATATCTAAGGAACCGTAGTGAAAAATCATAACCCACAAATATGCCAGATTCATACTTTATGATCTACTAGCACACATACCGATGGCATTGTTCAGGATGTATTCCTCTCTGAAGAAATCTTGTGTCATCCTACCCCCAGCTTTTCCAGCATCTGCGATAGCTAATAAGATAAAAAAGCATTCAAATGTCTAGCAGAACAGCCCTCCAATACCACACAGTAATAGTAAGTAAGCCAGCATGTACTCTACAAGCT